TCTCTCTCTCTCTCTTTCTTTCTTTTTCTCTCTCTCTTTCTCTCTTACCCTCTCGGAGGTTAAAAAAGCACCTTTGATCTGTTCCAACGCATCGTGTACTTTGAATGATACTTTTTCTTCATTGAAGTCTGGTTCTTCTACTATTTCCGTGGTGTATTTTCTGTAGCTTTCTTTGATGCCCAAAATGGTTCACATTGCTCAGCTTCTCAAAATTCCTTTTATCGTTAGGGAACTCTGTTGTCAAATCAAAGAGCTTTCAATGTCAAACAAATTTGGGTTGTGATACAACACGGAAATATACTTGTAATTTATACTTGTCTACGTCAATTTTAAAATGTTTTACTTATTTATTTATTTATTTATTTATTTATTTATTTATTTATGTATTTATGTATTTATTTGCAAACGAGCAAGATCAAAATAATTGTATAACCACTACTAGAAGGGCACACACATTACACAATCGAATTTGACAGTTGTTGTGAAACAATACCAGTCCTGCATCTAGGAAATACACATTATTTTAATTGTGTGACAGCGGTTTTCCCGCAAAACGCATGCAGTCGACATCATAAATTACAATCTTTGGCCTGGAAACCGTGAATACTAACCAACCATTATGTTTGCTCAACGCAGTCGTCCATATTTCAATGGTCTAGAGAGGCGTTCACGACGCCAACGGTCAGCCCCGCGAGTCATAAACCGACTGATGAGGTCGTTAATTCCACACAGGTGTGAGATTCACGGTCTCATCAGGCGACTTTGGGGGCACGGTGTTTATTCACGATTTTCTTATTACGTCAGATTACACGTTTGAGTTGAGATAAATGAAGAATTGTTTTACAGGGACATGTATCTCACCGAGCACTACCATAGTGTGCAAACAAAAAAACAAAAAAATTCTCGAAAATTTGTGGAATTCACGGTTTTATCAGACGACCGACGCACAGGGTATTTAGAGCATTCCTATTGCACTCAGATGACCTGAGTTCGATTTCTGTTTTGGCGAATTTCTAACGAATATCTCCTGCCTTCTGCCAGGACGTTGTATCCCTGGCAGCCC